GGGCTGCATGCCACGGTGTGCATGGACAGACTGGTTTGATGAGGATTACCCCACACCCGGTCCCAATGGTGGGGACTTTGAGACCTTTGCGGTCTTCCGCTCAGCAGGCCACGTCTTCTGTGAGCACCCCCAGGACATTGAGTGCCGCTCGGAGAGGGCGCCACAAATGGCCCTGGAGGACGTGGGGCAGGTGGTCCAGTGCAACCTCAGCTTTGGGCTGGTGTGCCGGAACCGCGAGCAGCCGGGGCCCGTGCCGTACTGCCACAACTTCCACGTGCGCCTGCTCTGCTGTGACAGCTACAGCCACTGCCTCTCCACTCCTGGCACCACGGAAGGCCCCTCCCCATCCCCGGGGACTGCCAGCACCTCTGTGACACCCCCAACCAGGGCCATCTCCCCGGCCCACTCTCTTCCCTTCATCTGGGCCTCGCAGACCTCGACTGGACTCCCCAGCACAGTGCCTATCACCATTTCAGGACCCTCCCCATCCCTGGAGACTGCCAGCACCCACACAACACCCAGCACTAGGGCCACCTCCCATGCCTTCTCTCTTCCCTGGGCCTTGCAGACATCGACCGGACTCCCTAGCATGGCGCCCAACACCACCTCAGGCCCCTCCCCATCACTGAAGACCACCAGCATCTTGCCACCCATCACTGTGTCCAGCACAGGCCCCTCCATCCCCGCCACTGTCAGCCCCACTGCCTTTCTCAGCTCAGCCTTCCCCACCAGCTGCTTTTGCCAGGCATTCGGACAGATCTTCTCCCCGGGTGAGTGTAGGAGCCTGTCCCTTCCCTGTGGATTGTCCACTCAGGACACCCACTTCCTCCTTACCCATCCTGCTCTCTGGCCTTGCCCTGGGACAGATGCCTCCTGCTGACCTGTCCTGGGGTGACCTGGTATCTTCTCCCCTCTACAGGGGATGTTGTCTACAACAAGACTGACAGAGCCGGCTGCCACTTCTACGCAGTCTGCAACCAGCGCTGTGACATTGACCGTTTCGAGGGTGCCTGCCCCACCTCTTCACCCCCAGAGACCTCATCCCCTGAGCCCCCACCCTCACTCTCTCCTGGCTGCAATCTTGTGGTCCCTCGCCGACAGGTGTGCTCCTGCTGTCCCCCCCCAACTGCCTCTCTCTCTGTGTATGGGTGGGGCACCCCCACCCCTCGGCGAGCCCTCCAGGGGTAGCTCTGCCTGGAGGAAGGCCTGCACGGTCCAGGGCTAAGTCAGCACCTGGGGCTGGCCAGGATGTGCCCTGGGGCCATAGCAGGTGCCGTGAGGATGGGTCTGGCGTACCTGACCGGTGAGCGCCATGCTTGGTCCCTCCTAGGTGAACGAGACCTGGACCCTGGAGGACTGCACAGTGGCCCGGTGCGAGGGTGACAACCGCATCATCCTGCTGGAGCCGAGACAGGTGGCCAACATCAGCTGTGTGAACGGGCATGTGCCTGTCAAGGTGCTCAGCGAGGCCGAGCCGTGTGACTACCACTTGGAGTGCGAGTGTGAGCACGGTGGCCGGCTTGCCACCGGGTGCGGGGGGAGCAGAGGCCAGGGGCGGGGGAGGTGTGCGTTTCCCCTGAGAAAGGCTGACCAGCTGCTGCTGGAAGGGGAAAGGCCCAGGCCTGCAGTGCCTAGGGGGCATGGGGTTCTTGTAGCTGCAAGCAGGGACCCCACGCAGGGTAGGTCAGAGCAACAGGAAACCAGAGTCTGAGATCCCAGTGTGGCAGCTCCTTGCATGGGCCCTTCCACCTCCTTCAGCTTCGGAGGCTCCAGGTGTCCCCGACTCGGGGCCGTGCTCCTCAGCCTCTGCCTTGTCTATGTGGCCCCTCCTTTGTTGTTAGATTCAGGGCCATCTGAGTCACCCAGGGTGACCTCATCTCAGGGTCTTTACCTAAAATACAGCTGTAAAGACCCCTTCCCAAATGAGGTTCCCTTTGCAGGCTCTGGGTGATACGTCTTTGGGGTCACCACCCCACCCTCTACATTTTACAAACGAGGCACCTGAGGCCAGGGTGGCCGAGCAGCTCCCCAAGGGGGCCGTGTTGGGGTGGCGCTGGATGAGCGAATGGTCCATGCCCTGCAGGTTCCTGCAGCGGCTGGGGGGGGTCCCACTACCGCACCTTCGATGGCACCGCCTACTCCTTCCTGCACAACTGCACTTACGTCCTCATGAGGGAGATCAACCCACGCCACGGGAACCTCAGCATCCTCTTGAGCAACCACTACTGTGGGGCCGACAGCTGTGCCCGTGCCCTCATGGTCCACCACAAGTCCATGGAGGTCGTCCTCACAACCACCCCTGGCCCCAGTGGGCAGAAGAGCCTGGTGAGTGGGACGCAGGGTGGGTACCTACCTGGAACTAGGCTGTGACCCTGTCCCTGCCTCTTCAGGGAAAACCAGTGGGCTGGAGGTCAGCTCCCACAGGGGCCTCAGGCAGGGCAAAGGGCACACACCTGACGCAGGAGAGCCCTGACCTCGGAAGCAGGGGGCAGGGAAGGATGGTGCGGGATGCTGCATGGGGAGAGCCCAACACAGCCTCCCAGGCCCCGGAGGACCATCTGCACATTGGGGTGTGGTGCCAAGGAGGTGCCCGGTGCCCGGGAGACAGAGCCCCAAAGGCAGGCCCTGCTAACCCCCCACCACTGGTCACGGGCCCCTGGACACATCCCCAGATCATGTTCGACCACACGCCAGTGAGCCACGGATACAGCAAGAACGGTGTGAGGGTGTCCCTGATGGGGACCACCGCGATGGCCATCGACATTCCCGCCATCCGTGTGGGCATCACCTTTGATGGGAGCATCTTCCAGGTCCGGCTGCCCTACAGTCACTTCAGCTACAACACCGAGGGCCAGTGTGGTGAGCAGGACGTGGGCTTGGCCTCCCGCCTGGCCACAGCAGCCTCGGGAGACAGTGCTTCATAGCTGAGTGACAGGGCTGGTGGGGAGACGGAAAGGTGTGAGAGCAGGCCTGGCCCCCTTGGTGACCCTCCCGCCCCCATCCTCCCAGGCACCTGCACCAACAGCCAGGCAGACGACTGCCGCCGGCCAGATGGCACCATGGCGCCCACCTGCCAGGACATGGCTAGAACCTGGCTTGTCCCCGAAAGCAGAGAGGCAGGCTGCTGGGCACCCACCAGCCTACCTCCAACCACCGGTAGCCCGTCCACCGTGCCCACCTCCGCCCCGTGCCCCCGGGCACCCCTCTGCGAGCTGCTGCTGAGCCGGTGAGTCCCTCCTTGTGAGCTGGGTGGACCCCTGCCTGGGCCCAGCACCCGACTCTGCCCCAGCCTTACTGCCCATGCCCGCAGGGTCTTTGCCGAGTGCCACAGTCTCATCCCACCCAGCCCGTTCCTCAGCGCCTGTGTGAGCGACAGCTGCCAGGCCGACCGCCCCGAGGTGCCCTGCCAGAGCCTGGAGGCCTATGCGTCACTCTGCCGTGCCCGGGGCGTGTGCAGTGACTGGCGCAACGCTACTGGCGGGCTGTGTGGTGAGTTGGGGGTGGTCCCTGGGGGCTCTGGCCTCCTTAGCCTGCCTGACACCTGTCCCTGTCCCCCCAGACTTCACCTGCCCACCCGCCAAGGTATACAGGCCATGTGGCCCAGTGCAGCCTGAGACCTGTGAGCCAAGGTAAGTGCTGCTGAATGGTGGGAAGGGGGCCCCTCAGGCCTCCCAGGCTTGCCCAGAGAGACCCACAGAGGGTCCAGGAACCCTGCCCACCATCTCTGGGGAGCCCTTCCCCACCCCAACCCCCAACCCCCAAGCCTGGGGGCAGCCCTGGGCAGCTGGCCGGACCCCGCACTCCACCGTGCCTGCTGCCCTTCTGGCCCCTCCCTGGGACCTGAGCCCGGGATCACGGCCCCAAGGCTGCCTTTCCTGCCCCCCAGGGGCCAGAGCCCACCAAGCCGGGGGCTGGCGGAAGGCTGCTTCTGTCCAGACGGGAGCGTCCTCTTCAGCTCCAATGCTGACGTCTGCGTGCCCCAGTGCCGTAAGCGCCCCACTAGCCCTGACCAGCCCGCTGGTGGGCGGGGGAGGCCTTGGGGCGGGAACCCCTGGCTTGAGCCCCTCCAGCCTGGACTGAGAACCCTGGGTCCTGGCTGCACTCACCTCTGGACCCCAGCGCCCACTCAGAGTGGCGTGGTGCGGCCACGGACCCTGCTTGGCCCCCTGACCTTACAGCAGCTTGAGATCTGGGCGAAAGAAGAGGCCCCGGCTGGGGGAGGGGAGGCCAGGCCTGCAGGCTCCCCAGAGACCCTTTCTCCTTCTCTTCCAGCCTGCGTTGGACCAGACGGGTTTCCCAAATTTGTGAGTTTGGAGAAGCAGGGAGGAGCATCCCCAAATGGGGGGCCAGCCCTGCCCCAGCCCCTGGAGGGCTGGTATGGGGTGCCAAGGTGCCAGTTGCATCCTGGCCACGTGGGCTGCTCCAGAGATGGCAGCTGCAGGGGGCAGCTGAGGTGTGACCTGCTGCGGTTGGTAGCCCAGGGCTGGGGTGCGGCCCAGGAGCTCTTGGGGACCCTGCCCTGGTTCATTCCAGCCTGGAGAGCAGTGGGTCAGCAACTGCCAGACCTGTGTGTGCGACAAGGGTTCCATGTCGGTGCGCTGCACCCCTGTGCGGTGCCAGGACCAGGCCCCACCCCCAGAGTGCAGCCAGGCTGGCTTTGTGACGGTGACCAGGCCTCTGGATGACAACCCGTGCTGCCTGGAGACTCTGTGTGGTGAGCCCTGTGCCCAGTGTCCGGGCAGGGCCGGGGTTTGGCAGAAGAGGGTGGTTGGGCACAGCTGCCCTGCTGGTGGGGCAGAGGGCAGCAGGAACCACAGCTGGACTGCTAAGGCGGGGAGACCTCTCGGTGGCTTTAGGCCACTTCAAAATGAGGCTGGTGACCTCTGGCCTGCCCGGTGTAGCCCAGGGACAGTGAGGAGACCTGGAGGGGCCAGAAGGCTCAGCCGCTTTGGCGCCGTTGTGGGTAGCATGCAGGGACTCGCCTGGTCGAGGAGGGCAGCTGCCACGAGGGCAGGCCCCTCACAGCTCCCGGCTCTCTCAGTCTGCAACAGGACCACCTGCCCCCACAGCCCGCCCCAATGTAGGCTGGGAGAGGAGCTGACCCACACCGAGGAGGAGGGCGGCTGCTGCCCTACCTTCCACTGCCGTGAGTGGGGCTGGGCGGGGAGGGGCTGTGGAGGCGAGGGGCTGGGGGCTCTCTGCGCTGGGGCTCGTGGCAGGGTGGTGTCCAAGCAGTCCCTCCCTGCTGCCCAGCAACACTCACTCCTCCCTCTCCTTCCAGAACCTAAGCTGTGTACCTACAATGGCACCTCCTATGGGGTAAGGTCCCTTGGGGGCCAGTGGGCGGGGCCCTGGGCTCACACCTGCCGTGGGACACCCCGTGCCCCTCTACACCAGCACTCCTTGTCCCAGAAGCCCAGCCCTGCCTGCGCCCTCCTCCACAGGAGCAGAGAAGCAGTGCACCTCTGGGCCCCTTAGACCTGCGTGGGGACACAGGACATGGGGGTGGCACCTTCTTCCAGAACCCTGGTCTGTGCCCAGCCAGGGGACACACCCAAATTCCATTCCCTCTGTGGGCCTTGCCTTCCCAGCTCACCCCCCACTGGGAGGGGTCCTGGCCCTGGTGCCCTAGGCAGTGCCCTCGGTGTCACCTCCCCTCACCCCGTCCCCTGCAGATTGGTGCCACCTTCCCAGCGGTCCTTCCCTGCCACACGTGCAAGTGCCTGACTGTGGATGCACAGGACCCAGCAGTGCAGTGTGCAAGGGACACCTGCAACAGCACCTGCCCCCAGGTGAGCCGCCCTCCCAGGCAGACCCAGGCTTGGCGCACTGCTCCCGAAGGCTCTCTCAGCCCTGCTGGAGACCAAAGGGAGGGTCTACTGTGGGCGGAATGACCTACAGGACGCTAGGGACTGGATCAGGTTCCAGGAAGGCAGGAGCAGATAGAGAAGGTGCTGGAAGCAGGGATGAGGCTAGGCCAGGACAGCGGGGCTGGGGGACAGCGGGGCTGGGGCAGCTTCTGCCAGCAAAGGCCTTTGGAGTGACACGGCACCACAGAGGGTGGGGCCGTTAAGGGGGTCGCCAGGCCCCTGGGATGTGGACAGAGGGCAGCAGGGCTGGGAAGCCAGGCTGGGGGTGCAGAACTTGACCCCTACTTTGGTCCCCCAGGGCTTCAAGTACTCGTGGGTGTCTGGGCACTGCTGCGGGGAGTGTGTGCAGGTGGCCTGCCCCACACCAGACGGCCGGCTGGTCCAGGTAAGGGGGCTCTGCCTCAGCCCCAACCAGGAGACCCCATCAGCCCTGCTTACACAGCCTCCACTCTCCCGGATTTCAGCCCAACGAGACCTGGGTCAACAGCCTGGTGGACAACTGCACTGAATACCACTGTGAGGCCAAGAGCGGGCGCCCGGTGCTGACTGCGAGGCCCACGCCCTGCCCGGAGGTGTCCCGCTGCAGGGTGCGTTCGGGCCGGCCTGCCCACCCTGGAAATCCCCACCCAACCCGCCCACCTACCCAGGACGCCACGCCCCCACCCCACCCCACCCCGCCCCCTCCAGCCCTGGCCGCCTACCCAGGGGCCGCCCCCGCAGGCCCCACCCCAGCCCGCCCCCTGTGCTCCTCGCTGCAGGGCATCCTCAGGAAAACAGGCTGCTGCTACTCCTGCGAGGAAGTGGGTGAGTCCGCGCCCGCCTTCCCACGCCTACTGCTCGGTGCAGTGTCTGCCCACTGATTGGTCCCAGGGAACCCCACGCTGGGCGGCGGCTCCCAGGAGCGCGCCACGGAGGGGGAGCCTGGCCCGTCCCCAGAGCCCCTCCCTCACTCCACCCCCTGCCCCCAGACTCCTGTCAAGTCCGCGTCAACAGGATGGTCCTGCGGCACCAGAGCTGTGCCACCCAGGCCCCTGTCAACGTCACTTTCTGCGAGGGCTCGTGCCCGGGAGCGTCCAGGTGAGTGGGCTCCGTGTCCCCCCAGAGCTCCACCCCACCTGCTGGCCACCACCCAGTGTCCCACGTGGCCCTGTCCTTGTGGACACCCTGGCTGGGTCAGGAGGGCCCAGCTTGCCACTGGAAGGAGGGAAGGGCCCTGAGCACAAAGCCCAAGGCCTCCCCTGCCCCCGAGCCAGGCCCAGGGTCAGCTGGGCTGGGCCATGCGGGACGGGGCACCACAAACCCGTGTCCGGGGCCTGGTGGGGAGTGTCCACATGGGACAGCATCAGGACCTTCCTCGGACCAGACTTGGGGCAGAGTCCCTGATCCCCAGGCGGCCTGGGCTGTGGCCCCCTGTTAGTGGGCTGGCAGGAAAGCTGAGCCCTTGGCCAAGAGACGCAGGATGAAGCGTCCAGGGTGACTCAGGACCCAGGGAGGTTCCCAGAGGACCGGCGCCCGGTGGGGGAAGGTCAGAGCTCAAAGCTACCGTGAGCACCACCCAGGCCAGAACAGTAGTGCCCCAGAGGCCCTGAGGGCAGGTGTGTCTGCTGCAGGTACTCCATGGACACCCAGGCCATGCAGCCACAGTGCACCTGCTGTCGGGAGACCAGGGCCCACGAGGAGGCTGTGACCATGCAGTGTCCCGATGGCACAGCCCTCCAGCACACGTACACCCACGTAGACCAGTGTAGCTGCACCCCATCCTGCGGCCCCCTCCCCAAGGCTCCTGAGGGCAGCGCCCCCACCTCCCTGACCTAGGGAGCCACATCACCTCTTGCCCTCCCTCACGCCCTCCCTATATGTGCCAGAACATGCACCACCCAACCACGGAGATCTTGGGTGGGCCTGCTCCAGGAGCCGACACACACGTTCCACCCGTCCCCAGGTGGAACCCCACCTGGAGGGCGTGGTGCAGGAGGTCCTGCCTGCAGAAGGCACCAGGTGGGGGCCCTGGCCTCAGAGCCCTCAGCTGGTCTTGGCACCTGCTGGGCCATCATCTGAAACACAAGTGCCTGCCCCGCCCAGATGCACCCTTTCCAGGTGTCAGAGGGGCGCCCTGGAGCAAGACTGCATGGCGGCCACTGCGCTGCTCCTCATGGCAGGCCTGAGGGGCCCTCTGGCACCTGCTGCTGCACACTGTGGTCAGGCCTGTGCAGGCAAGGCCAGCTGCCTCCAGGGTGCAGCACCGGGCAGGGTGGCTGCCTGCCCACATCTGGACCTGGGCCTGAGGCTACCCTGGCCAAGGGCAGGCCGGGAGGGGCAAGGGCCCCACACACCTGCCCTGCTCAACCAGCCCCAATTTGCAAATAAATGCTGAGCATTGTGTACATTTCCTGGTTCTGTCTCTTCCTGCCAACTACCCCCTGGGTGCTCCCCTCCGTGGGGCTCATGCTGAATCAGGTGGGGCAGCGGGCAAGGAGGCCTCACAGGTCAGCCTCAGGCCACGGGGTACTGGCCCAGCCAGGGCTGAGCCAAGGTCTGAGAAACCGCCCTCACCATTGTTTGTAACACCTGGGGTTTGTAAGCAAATGGCTTAGAAGTAGAGAGCCTGAGCCAGCAGCAGGGGACCTGGAGGCAGCCCACCTGTGCGTCCGCACACGAAGCAGCTGCTGGGCAGGTGGGGTGCACAGGAGGGGGTGCATGATGCTGCTCACACAGGTCCTTTCTTCGGGTCCTTGTCACACATCAACTTGCCGCGTGTCTGGCCATCTCTCCTCGTCCCCACCTGAGGGCTTCTGCCTCGTTTTCTATCCAGAGTGCCAGCCAAGACCATACACATGGCCCACAGATTCAGGAAAGATGAGAAGTGACCCCAGAGTGGGCAGGGGTGGTTGCAGGCGGGTGATGTAGTGCTCGCTGAGGAAGCCTCGGGCTGGGGGCAAGTGGGAGGGTCTTCTTGTCCTCAAGCCCCGCACCACACAGCCTCTGTGCCCACCCAGGAATGGCGTGGTGGTGATTCACTTTTACAGAGCCCGTTCTCCCACGGCCCAGGGCCCCCAGCTCCAGGGCGGGTGGGCTCAGCCAGGAGGCTCTGGCTCTCTCAGCGGCCACTGCCAGCACTCCAGCCTCCCCACCCAGCTCACAAGGTCTGGTCAGGAGGGGCCACCCTGGGGCTGGGCGGGAGATGGCCCGATGAGGCTGCGGGCGAGTGGCCCATCAGCCACTACTGGGGTCAACTTCTGCAAACTCACCTCCTGTCTCAGTTTGATTTCTGGGGGACGGTGGCCGGTTCATGCCCCGCCCTGCGTCCTCATTAACCATGTGCAGAGCAGCAGCATTTCCTGAACCTGTTGTTCACAGCAGGACTGTTTCCCTAAACCCAAGTACCTCTTACAAACTTAGAGGTGCTCCTGAGGCACCAGGAATATGAACACCAGTTGCCGCATGTATGAAGTGTTTTCTACATGCCTGTATGTTCTCACCGAATCCCTACAACCGCCCTAGAAATGTGCACCATTATTTCTCCCACTTTACAGATGGAGAAATGGAGGCACAAAGCACTGAAGAGGCACTTCAAGGAAGGGGTCACACTGGGTTCAGCGGGGACAATCCGACTCCGAAGTCCTCGCCGTGAACCCACGGAACTCCACTGCAGCCCCAGAGGCTGGAACCATGAGAATCAACACGACAAATGACAGCAAAACAATGTCACTTAAACTTAAATCTTTTTAAAAAGAGATGTCTGGTTTCTAGATGGAAAAGTGGGCTTCTCCTCCCGCAGACACACAAAAGCCATAACACAAACAGACAGAAACTGAAAACAAGAAAGTGAATTATTTGTAAAACCGTCAGACATCCTGGAAAGGAGACTTGCGAGGCCCCAGTGGGGAGAGGGCGCCGTGCACGGGGGCACTGTTTGAATAGGTAATGACCATGATCTTTCAGAACAGGAGAAGAACTCTTGGGTGGAAACCACTCAGTGAGTGCCAAGTTAAATAAAAAATAAGTCCGTTCCTGGACATTTGGCTGTGAGATTCTGAAACATCCAGGGAAGGAAACCTCAGGGCCACCGGGAAGACAGCTGCCTCCAGGCAAGGGTCACGTTGGCCCAGGCTCCTCCTCAGGGACACGTGCAGGAGGGGTCGGCATGCTTTTCCCAGAGCTCAGGGAAAACGACTTTGGGTTTAGTTTATGTTTTTCTGGTTCCTTCAGTTGTAAAATTAGGTTTTTTGATGTGAGATCTTGCTTGTTTTTTCATGTCAGCATTTGCAGCTATTAACTGCCCCCATCGCATTGCTCTCCTTGCATCCCATAAATTCTGGCATGTTGTGTTGTCATTTTTATTTGTCTTAAGTATTTTCTGATTTCCCTTGTGGCTTCTTTGATTCACTGGTTGTTTAAAAGCTTGTTGCTTAGCTTCCACAATTCTGGGGATTTCCCAGTTTTCCTCGTTCATCATCCAGTTGTGGTCAGAGAGCTACTTGGAACCATACCTACCTTTTCAAATCTATTGAGACTAAATGTGTTCCTACCATACCGTCTATCCTGGGAAATGTCCCCGAAGTGCCCCATGTGTACTTCAGAAGACTGTGTATCGTTGTCAGGCAGCTGTGTTTTATACTTGCTCGATGTAGTTGGTTTACTGTGCCAGGTCCTCTACCTCACCAGCCCCACCTCTCACAGATTACGTATCGTTGGACCATGTGTTTTTATTCATTCTGCCAATGTCTGTCTTTTGCTTGAGGAGATGAATCTGTCTAGACTTAGGTAATTACTGACAAGGAGGGACTTACTCCTGCCTTAGTATTTCTGGGTGCTTGTAACGATTTCTGTCCCTCAATTCCAGCACTACTGCCTCTTTTCTTGAGTTGTTTTTTTGTAGTGAAATATGTAAATTCCTGTCTCAATTCCTTTTGTGTATATTCTACAGCTATTTTCTTTGTAGTGACCATGGGATTAAACTTAACATCCTGAAGTGATCACACTAATTTGAATTTATAGCAGCTTAACACCAATAACATATAAAAACTCTTCTCCTTGACAGCTCCATCCCCACTACCTTTTGGTTGTTGATGCCACAAAATTACATCTTTGTGCCCCAAAACAAAAACTAATAATTTTCTTAAATGCATTATTCTCTTCAATTATGTAGAAAACAAGATTTGGAGTTACAAACCAAAGTTACAGTAATGCTAGCTTTTGCACTAGCTATTTTTTCTTTAAATGTATCATTAGTCTCTTAAATCACGTAGAAACAAAGTGCAGTTACAAACCAGTTACAGTAATATACTAGCTTTTATCTTTGCCCCTATTTTATCTTTACTGAGATCTTTATTTCTCCATATTGCTTCCTTACTGTCTAGGGTCCTTTCATTTCTCCTGCAGGACACCCTTGAGCATTTATTTGCAGGCAGGTCTAGTGGTCATGAACTTCCTCAGCTTTTGTTTATCTGGGAAAGCCTTAATTTCTCCTTCACTCTTGAAGGATGGTTCTCCCAGATTCATGGTTGAAAGGTTTTCTCCTCCAGCATTTGAATATATCATTCCTACTCTCCTCTGGCCTCCAGAGATTCTCGTTAGAAATCTGTCGACAGTCCACTAAGGATCCTTTGCGTGTGGCACTTCGCTACTCTTGTGACTCTTGAATTCTGTCTTTGGGTCTGAAAGCTTGATCATAACATGACTTGGTGTGCATCTCTTTGAATTCATCTTACTTGGGGTTTGTTAAGCTTCTTGGACGTTTATAATCATGTCTTTCATCAAATTTGGGGAGTTTTCAGTCATTTTTCTTTCAAATATTATCTATGCCTCTTTCCCTCTCTCTTCTCCTTCTGAGACTCCCAAGATGTGTGTGTTTGTTCATTTGATGGTGTCCCAACAGGTCCCTTACACTCTGTTCACTTTTCTTCAATGTTTTTTCCATTCTTTTTCTCAGACTTGATCATTTCCATTGCACTATCTTCAAGCTAATTTTTTCTTCTGCCAACTCAAATCTGTCTTTGAATCCTTCTAGTGAATTTTTTGTCTTTTAAGTGCCAGAATTTCCTTTGGGTTACTTTTAGGTGTCCTCTTCATTGATATTTCCATTTTTTCATACATCATGTTCTTGACTTTCTCCACAACTTTCTTTGTTGTTTTAAAGTCTTTGTCTAGTGTATCTGCTGTCAGGTCTTTTTCAGAGACAGTTTCTGTTGATATTTTTTCCTTTTAATGGGCCTTTTAATTTCCTGTTCCTTTGTATGCCTGGTGGATTTTTTTGTCAAACACTGGATATTTGAATTGAATAATGCAGTAACTCTTGATTCTCCCCCTCCCCTGTGCGGTGGTCGTCATTTTATAGGCTGTCTCTGTGCCAAGGGTCAGCCTGAGGTGTAAACTTAATTTCTTCTCTGGTCTTTTCTGAGCCTGTTCCTTGGCATTCATGATCACTTCCTGGTCTTCCCCATATTCACAGTTGTTTTTCAGTGTCCCAGTCTTTAATGTTTGATTCCTAAAGGGGAAAAAGAAGTGAAGGGGCAAAGAGCACTGCCCATCAGGCGGAGTAGGGTCTTGCGATAATAGGGGAGGGACAACAACAGTGACCACTCGCCTCATCTGTCTGGACCTCTTGTGATCAGAAGAAGCAATCAGCCTTCGAGCACAGATCCCTGGTGTTTGGGGACAGGGTTCTTTTTGTCCACCCCGGCTCCCACAGGCCGCTCCAAGATCACATGCACAGCTGCCTGCCATGAGGCTGGGGGTGGGCAGCTAGGAACATGCTACTGTGCTAAGTAAGAGATGCTTGATCCCAGTTGACTGTCCAAACCTCCCTGGACGTTGCAAGCTTTCCATGAACTCCAGAGCTCCAAAGTAGTTCCAGCAGAAGGATTCTGCCCCTGCAGTTGTTGCCCGGGTCGTGAGGGATTCCTTGTACTTTCTGCCCTGCCACCTCCCCGGCATCGTCTTGTCTTTAAATTCTGAATCCATCCAGAATTGATGTTTGAAAGTGGCACAAAGCAGGAGTCTGATTCCATGGACACCATGTCTTGCCAACTACTCCAGAATGTACTGCAAATCTATCCATGCCCACTCTCCGGCGAGCCGTTCTCTGGTCTCTGTCCTATTCCCCTGGACATTCAGTCTGTCATCTCAACATAGACCAGAGGCCCATCGTCTTGGTTTCTATTTAAGCAGGTCTTCACTTCTGTGCTCTTCAAGGGTGTCTCACTCTTCTCAGCCTTTTGGACTCCCATGTAATGTTTAGAATGAACTAATCAATTCTCACAAATAAAAAGCAGGACTTTGGGGATGGGGATCACACGGACTGTAAATTAATTGAGAGGAATGGCTGTCTTCACGTACTATTTCCGTCCATGAACACTGTACACCCCTCCATCGACCG